ATAAACAGCTTTTTATAAGGTAAAAATAATAAAACAAGGTCTTTGTCTGCAATGATTAGACATGTTTTTTATTATTGTCATTAGTGATTATCTCAATTTCGGCTAAAAGGCTTGACAAAATCCTACACACTGTGCCTTTAAGACCTTAATTTGAAAACATGGATACATTTAAGACTTTGTAATTGAACCTTTTCCAATTCATACCTTTTAAAATCCTGCTGAAATCTTATGTTTAATGCTAAAAGATCAAATCTCAAGTGTGTGGGAAAATCTAATATTACTTTGTTACAAAATTGGTTTGTTTGGAGTTAGTTTTGTTCAGGGTAAAAACCTTCCGTTTCACAGAGCTTTCACTAGAAAAATGTTGTTTTTTCCAGTATGCTGTAAATTAAAAACAAATTATAACCATTAAAATTAAAATGAAACTATTTTAAATGTCTGTATCTGCAACAGTTTCTCAAACTAAGCACCCGTCTTTAAAACGTCTGTTTTAATCAGTTTTATCCACCTTAATGTTACCCATGTTGTTAAGTATTTAATCTCAAGCAAATCTAGTGTTACAACTCACACTGGGACCAGGGGGACCAACTTTTCCAGGCAGCCCAGGAAAACCAGGAGATCCCTGTATAAAAAAAGTGTTTTCAGTACGCGGTGTTAAAAAAACTGTACACATGTTAGAGTTTTATAACTTTTCTGTTTTTCAAGAGTGTTTCACTCACAGCTGGACCCTGTGTTCCTCTGCCACCTTTCAGCCCCGTCACACCAACAGGACCCTACAAACACAAGAGCAGTTTCACCCCAATTTATGAAACTAATCAGAAATATTATCTGAATCTAGATTTATCAGAAACATATGTGTATTTTATGCGTTGGCTAAGTCTTTAGAAAAGTGTTTCTATGATTATTTCAGACAGAGCTGAGAAGCATGGAGTTTAGACATTGTGGAGTTGAATTTTCACCTGCTCCCCTGGTTTTTCAGCCGTCCCTTGTGGTCCAGGAGCTCCCGTTTCTCCTTTCTGACCAGGCTCTCCTGTTTCACCTTTGACCCCAGGCTGACCATCTGGGCCCTGAAACAGAAACAAACAGAAAGTTAGGTTCTCTTCTAGGGCGATAAATTCTGTTTCTCTTTTTAATTTGTTTTCAGTGTCCACTTACAGGAGGCCCAGAAAATCCAGCAGCCCCAATTGGCCCGGGATCACCTGTAGAACCCTGTTAATGTCACCAAACACAAACATGCACTCATCAAGATGGAACTACTGAATGCAAAACTCAAATTAATGTTATTTAATGTAAAAAAAAAAAAAAGGTTCAGCTTACAGGTCCTCCTCTTGATCCCCGGCGACCTGTTGGTCCTGGTGGGCCAATTTCACCCTGAAATGGTAAAACTTTTTAAATTTTTATTGTTTCTGGTAATCTGTTATTTTGAAACAATCAGTTTAAAACAATTTCTTTGTGTGTTTCATAATCTTATTCACTTACTATATTAGTTTTTGGCAAATAATATAATGCTGATCAATCATGTTTTATTGTTAAAAACTCACCTTTTCTCCATTTGGTCCAGTAGGACCAGCAGGTCCAACAGAACCAGCAAGCCCCTTTATGAAAGAATAAATAATATGAGATTAAAGGATGATACATTACTTTGCCATTATTCTGGTTGCAGAGAAGTTTGTAAGTGACTCACCCTTGCACCATCAGCTCCTGCTTTTCCTTCAAGTCCTTTCTCACCAACAGAACCCTGTTAAAAGAAATCAATATTAAACACCTCAGATATTTAAGGGCAAAGTATAGTCGAGCGGAGGCCGACTAGTCGATGTGCAGCCATGTGGTGGCGGGAAGTTTATTTTCTCACACACTTTTCATAGCCCATGAGACACACGGTGCAGAGCTTCTGGGAAACACCTGCTGTGTACGTCACCTCGCACAGAACAAAAACATGAATCTAAAGCTGCCTTCAGGCACTTGCAAAAAAGATATGTGATCTCAATGAGATTTGACTGGTTAAATAAAGGTTAATAAATGCATCAGTCCATCCACTTTTGCTATCTGCTTCTCCTTTCCTGAGCTGATGTCTGTCTCCAGCAATCACTGCAAGAGGCAAGGTGCTCAGAGTTTGATTGTCCACACATTTCCTGTCATCTCCATTTATTTGAAGCTGATCTGATGATGTTTATGTGGATTCTTGGTCATCAGGAACATGGCCATCCTAAGAATTTATACATTTTTTCAAGGCGACTGGACATTCATTTATTCAAATGACACAGAATGAAGGGTGATTTGCATATTAGGTCAGATCAGGTATAAACTGAGCGATTCGTTGCAGTTTTAAAGAGAATAAGACTAAATTATTTTTAAAAATTTTATAAAATCATGTATTTAAGTTGTTTAACTTACAGCATCTCCTTTTGGTCCAGAAGGTCCTGGTATGCCTCTCTCTCCTGGCATCCCCTGAAGTCCTGGACCACCTGGCTCTCCACCAGCACCCTTTGGACCTGGGCTACCCTGTACACCAGAAGTTATCAATCAAAATAAGTTGTCAGTTAAACAGTGTTTTTTTGTTTGTTTGTTTTTTGTTTTCTTTTTTCCAAAAATACCTTGGGCCCATCTGATCCTGGTGCTCCTGGACCTCCTTTTGGTCCCAACAGCCCGTTAGGCCCAGTTTCACCCCTTTCTCCTGGTGGGCCTCTTTCTCCCTGTAAACAGTCAATAGTTAAAAACATTAAACTATTTATTACTGCATTAAACGACAAAATACGCCTGATTAAAACAAGAATATTTGAGCTTAACAGCATTAATGGACTTACTCTCGGACCTGTTCCTCCTACAGCACCAACTTCTCCAGCAAGACCCTGCAAAAAGGTTACAACAAATCAAAAAAAATAAAAAAAATAAAAATCTAAATATTAATTTCAATTCAGTATGAAGATTTTTAAATTAAATTAACATTGCCACTTTGTTGTACCTCATCACCTGGTTTTCCACCCTCTCCAGGTGGTCCCGGTGGTCCAGGCAAACCCTAAAAACACAGACACAGAGGCAAAAATGTAAACTGACAAAATGAATACTCCAAATTAAGAGTTTATTTTAACTTTCACCCTAAAAGATGAAACTAATTAAGAGCTTCAGATCTTACAAAGCAGCAGCAGCATAGTTTGGTTGTTTAGTGACCGTGAGGTTTTTTTTTTCTCTTTTTTTCTAAGAAACAAGAGATGCTAATTTGTGTTTACAGCCAAGAAACACCAGAGCATTTTAAAAAGAAAACAACATTAATGACTGCACAAAGTTTACACAACATGGAAAAAAAATACAAAACTAAACCCCAGAAGTGGTAGAAAACTAATAAAATAACTTTATAAAGCCCACAATTTGTGCATTTTATGTTGTTATTAATGTTAAATGTTTATCCCTTCATAAATACATAAACAAACAATTTAAGTTTAAATAACAATAAGATTTGGTGCAAAAGAGACAAACTGGCAGCTTTTATCCAAACCGGCCCGTGGGGTTCGGACCATGACTCAAAGAGACTTTTTTAGGTTCTGAGATGTTACATGTGTACCAAATTTCATTATTCCAGGTTCAAGCATGGCTTGGGGACATTTTTTTAAATAGTTGTAGGGGGTGGTGTGGAGGAATTAGGCCACACAACCCAAAAATTGGACTGCATTCATGTGGTGGGGTGGATTAGGATTGGCCACAGTGAATTCGGTGCAGATTGGACTTAACTTCAGCGTTTGACACTGTGGATCACTCTGTTCTTATCAACAGACTGAGAGATAATTTTGGTATTTCTGGCTCTGTGTTAAACTGGTTCACCTCTTATTTATCTGAACGGTCTTTTACTGTTTTTATGAATCAGGTTTATTCTGATGTTGCACCGCTGTCTTGTGGGGTACCCCAAGGTTCAGTTTTGGGCCCAATCCTCTTTTTATTGTACTTGTACCCTTTAGGAGGTATTTTAAAACATTACAGTAATGTGTCCTACCATCTGTATGCTGATGACATACAGTTGTACTGTTCCTTTAGACCCTCTGAGTTTTTCAAACTGTCTGAACTTGTTAACTGTCTGTCAGAAGTCAAAATATGGCTGAACAACAACTACCTGCAGTTAAATGCAAACAAGACTGAAACTCTTATTATCGCTCCTGATGATAAAATCCCTGTAATCAGGCAGCACCTTGCTTTTTTAACTCCTTCAGTGAAAAATAGTGTCAGGAATCTGGGTGTTGTCTTTGAAACTTCTATGACTTTTGACAACCATTGTAAAACTTTAGTTCGTAACTGTTTTTATCATTTAAGGAACATTTCAAAGCTGAGATCTTTTGTGTCACAGAAGGAACTAGAGATGGTTGTTCACGCTTTTATTTCTTCTCGTTTAGATTACTGCAACAGTCTTTTTACATGTCTAAACAAATCCTCCTTGACTCAGCTTCAGTCTGTGCAGAACGCTGCAGCGAGGTTATTAACAAAGACCCACAGGAGAGTCCACATTACACCTGTTTTAGCCTCTCTGCACTGGCTCCCTGTGCATTTGAGGAGTCATTTTAAAATTTTAGTTTTAACTTTCAGAGCACTTCATGGTCAGGCCCCCAAATACATACTGGACCTTCTGAAGCCTCTCTGTCCATCCAGGACTTTGAGGTCTTCTAATCAAATGCTGCTGATGGTCCCTCGAACCCATTATAAAACCCGTGGAGACAAAGCTTTTCAGGTGGTGGCCCCGAGGCTCTGGAACGCTCTCCCTCTGTCCCTTCACTGCTCAGATTCTACTGACTCTTTTAAGAAACATCTGAAGACATTTTTATTCAGACAGGCTTTTAGTTAAGTGTTTTTTATTGTGTTTTAATTGTTGTTTTTATATCTGTGATCTGTTTTATTGTTTTTAATTATTTTTGCTTTCTGTGAAGCACTTTGTGATGTTTGTCTGTGAAAGTTGCTATAGAAATAAAGTTTACTTACTTACTTACTTACTTACTTACTTACTTACTTACTTACTTACTTACTTACTTACTTACTAAGTATGTGAAATGTAGCGTATGTCAACTGTGTGATATCTGACTTTGCCGCAACGCCATGACCACGTCTTTCACCAAAAAGATTTTGTGCTTGAAAGCAAATGAGGTCACATTCTTACCTATGTTCTGACATTATTTGTTGCTGATCAGGTCAAGATAGTCAGAGATGGAGCTTTTCAAGCCAAAACAAGAACACTTCCTGTTGTCATGGGGCGGGGCTTTTATGACACACATGACAATATGGTCGGACATGCACCATAGATGACTCATACCAAGTTTGGTGTATTTTAGCCTTTCTTTGTGAAAATTACGGCTTTCTGAAATTGTACCGGATGGACTTACGGATGGACAGAGAACATTTCTAAATCCCCTGCCTCGGCAATGCGGGACAAATAAGGCTACTGCTTATTGCTATATACAGTATATACTTTAAAATATATTCATGCTTCCATTCCAGCCTTGTTTTTCTTGATAAAATAAATAATTACATGTTAATTAGCGCAAAAACATTTGTGATGTTTACCTGAAAACCGCTCACTCCTTGAGGTCCCTGTTCACCTCTCTTTCCTGCAGGACCCTGAAGAATAGAAAAAAGTATGAAATAATCCAATATTCATGTAACAATTAAAACTTACATAATTTTGCTAGACTTGGGTGCTTACAGCTGGACCAGGTGGACCAGCAGCTCCTGTCTCTCCATCTTTTCCATTTACTCCCTAAAGGACAAAGATGATAAAGCATGACCAAAAACGTTTTACACATTAAGTTTTAGTTTAAAGTAACATAAAAAACTCACCCTTTGACCTGGAGGTCCAGGACTTCCAGCCTCCCCAATCTTACCAGCATCACCCTGTAAATAAACAAATATGGAAACACAAAAAAGTATTTATTTTTTGTATTTTCCCTGCAGCTTTTTAACAATTATGTCCTCTATGTTCATGCTTAAAAAATTTAAGCCAAATCTAATAGCTTGCAGTAAGGAGCAAAGAAGGTCTGTCCTCTTTTAGTTCTTGGGTTTTTAGTGTCAGTTCATTGGAACTTGCACAACAGCACCAAACATAGGACATTGAAAGGTGAAAGTAAGTTTTATTTTCTGATGAGAAAAAAATGAAGATGGTCCTGATGGTCTCCTGGGCACAGGCCTGCAGGAGGGGCTCATTGGCGAGCGCCTGGTGGCCGGGTCTCTACCCATGAGACCTGGCCAGGCTCAGCTCAAATAAGCTACATGCGTTTGCCTTCCTGTGGGCCCACCACTTGCAGGAGGGGCCGTACGAGTCAGGTGCATGATGCCATGGGCAGTAGCCAAAGGTGGGGACCTTGGCGCTCTGACCCTAGCCTACCAAAGCTGACTCTTGGAAAATGGAACGTCACCTCAACCCAGCTGAGGTGGAGGATATTGAGTCCAAGTGGGCCATGTGGCCCTCAATTGTCAAAGCGGCTGCCTTGAGCTGTGGCCACAAGGTTGTCTTTGCTTCTTGCAGTGGCCATCCTCGAATTTGGAGGTGGACACCCTGGGTAAGGGAAGCTGTCAAGCTGATGAAGGAGTCATATCGGGCCTTGTTGGCTGGTAGGACTCAGGAGGCAGCTGAGGAGTATCGGCAGGCCAAGCAGGCTGCAGCTCTGTCCGTTGCTGAGACAATAGCTCGGATGTGGGAGGAGTTTGGTGAGGGCTTGGACAGAGACTACTGATCGGCTCTGAGGAGATTCTGGCAAACCATCCAGCGACTGAGGCGAGACAAGCAGCACTTCACCAACAGCGTGCTCAGTGAAGGTGGAGTGCTGTTGACCTCAACCAGTGATGTCGTCGGGAGGTGGAAGGAATATTTCTCGGACCTTCTCAATCCTGCCTTCTATGGAGGAAGCAGAGTCTGGGGATTTTAGGGTTGATCTGTCCATAACTGGAGCTGAGATAGCTGAGGTAGTTAAAAGCTCCATGGTGGCAGGGCTCCAGGGATGGATGAGATCTGCCCTGATTTCCTCAAGGCTCTGTGGGGCTGTCTTGGCTGACACGTGTTGGCAACATTGCGTGGACATCGGGGGCAGTGCCGCTGGATTGGCAGACTGGGGTGGTGGTTCCCCTCTTCAAAAAGTGGGAATGGAGGGTGTGCTCCAAATACAGGGGCATCAGGGATACTGGAGAAGAGAATCCAATCAATATTCGAACCTCAGATTCTGGAGGAACAATGCAGGTTCCGTCCTGGCCGTGGAACACTAGACCAACTCTTTACTAGGGTCCTCGAGGGGTCATGGAAGTTTGCTAATCCAGTCTACATATGTTTTGTGGACTTGCAGAAGGCATTCGACCGTGTTCCTCGAGGTACACTGTGGGGCATGCTATGCGAGGATGGAATTGTGGATCCGTTGTTTCAGGCCATTCAGTCCCTATACAAGCAGTGCAAGAGTTTGGTTTGCATTGCCGGTAATAAGTTGGACTCCTTCAGAGTGGGAGTTGGACTCCGCCAGGGCTGCCTGTTGTCACAGTTTCTGTTCATAACTTTGTAGGTGTCACCTTAAGTGGAATAAACAAGGAAACTGTCTTTGGCCCCAGGCCTCTGATGGGCCTTCTAAAGAGACAAAATTCTGTTCCACTTAAAACTTAATTTAGGCCACCACATGTTGCCTCAACTTGTCAAATGGACAATCTCTTTTTCCTAATCAGATAAGAAACAGAATAATATTTTTATTTGATCTATTTTTCTCTTAAAGAAGAAGTTATGACACATTTTGATAATCATAAAACAATGTTTATCAAGTTACAGGAGAAAAGAGAACAGACTTTTCTCCCTCAATGTGATTTCAGCCATATTATAGATCTTTCTGTGGAAAAATCTTATTGAAATAAAATAATCATTATGGTTTAAGTTGATGAAACATCAGTATTTTATTTGTCTGAATCATATTGCAAATGTTTTGAGTTTGAAGTAATTCATTCTTTCAGTCATTATTTTTAAAGAGTTCTCATCAGATAATACCTAAATAGGTCATGATGTGTTTGTTTATTCAACTGTAGAAGCAATGAAAATGTTAGATAAGTCTGGCCTTGCGCCTGTCCAGAGGTTTTGGGTCCGGGTATGTGAAGATTTGTCGAAGTGTTTGAATTGTTATATTCTACCCTCTCCGTCTGTTTGCTTATTGGCTATCTTAGGTGATGTCACTATAGAGAAAAACACTTCTCATATGATTTCCACTGCCTTATGCATCGCAAAGAAAACAATACTCTTAAATTGGAAAAATAAAAATGATCTTAGCATTAATCAGTATAGAAATCTTCTGTTAGATCATTATAGTCTTGAA